GGGTGATCCTTATCCACATGGTGGCACATTGTGTCATCGGGTGTTTATCGCTTGTGTGATGTCCTTCCTGGTGGAGTAGAAAGTCTGTAGTCGGGAGCGCTAACATAACTCAACGGTTGTGTCACCGGGTGTTGGTTGCTCGTTGTAGGTTACTGGTGGCATTAAACAACACACACACACAATAAGTCACTACTACTTTGTGTCACTGGGTGTTGGTTGCTCGTTGTAGGTTACTGGTGGCCTTTTGGCTAAGATCAAAGTGTAGTATCTGTTCTTATCAGAGCGGTGTCCTTTTCAGGACGAGCTACCTTTGAGGCGATCAACGAGTCTCGTAACCACACCCCACTACCCCGCACATAACCAAAACCAACGACGGAGCAAGCCCCGGACACCAAACCTCTACCACAGCCACCTGAGATGCAGCCTGCAGCAGACGTCACCAACCTGGACCTGGACGTGCCGACGGACGCGTTCCCTGGAGGAAGGATTCACCGGACAGGTAATACGATCATTGTGTCTTTGTCCGGTGCCGATGCTGCCTCCAGGGCGGCGACCGCCTGGCTGACCAGCGTCCTGATAGGCCCAGTCGGAGTGCCTATCCACGGGATAGCGGCGCTGTACCGCTACTCGAAGACCACCGAGTGGTACCTCACCCTCACCGAAGCAGCCCACAGGACTCATTACGATCTCCTGCACAATGCGCGGAAAACAGTGGAGGGTGTAGATGTTCTTCTAGAACATCTAGACAAAGTAAGAACAAAAATCTGCATCAATTGGATGCCAGTCACAGCCACGGAAGCGACCGTGAAAAAAATTATCACCGGAATCACGGGAGACGAGGATCCCGAAACATACCAGATTCCAAAACACGGCATCGACAGATGGCATGCCTCCGTGAGGGAGACAAAACCGATCCCTCATTATGTCAACATGAGGCATCCGGCGCTCCCCGGCGGCAAACACCAGCTCTGGGTCACTGTGCCAGGCAGAAGGACGAATTGTCCTCACTGCGGGCACAATGACCACTGGGCAAACAAGTGCCCTACAAGGAGGAGACGACCAGAACCAGCAACTGCACCCATTCCGGAGGAGGTTCATCCACCCCAGGAAGAGGCGGCAGTCGCTACGGAGGTGATAACGCAGTCCTCAACAGAAGAAGAAGGAAGCTCACAGGCCAAAGGCAAGAAGCAGAAGAAGGTCAAGAAGCGAAGCCGCCAGAAGGCTAGCTCCAACGAGACTTCACCTGCAGCAAAAAGAGACAACAGAGAAATACCAGAGGAAACGACAGCAGCCGGCTTGAAAGAGGAGTCCACTTCTTGCTCAGAAGACACAGACTGGGAGAGTGCCGAGCCTCACATCAAAGACATATTATGTCCACAATCCTCGGCGGAATCGACCACATTTTCGCACACAGTCACCAAAGTCCACTGCGTTAGATGTAACCTTCAACTGGCAAAACCATCAAAAAAAGGACACCAACTTTCTTTCCTAGAAGACGTCGAAATCAAAGTAAGAAACAGACCACTGAAACAATACGGAACCCTCTCTTGGTGCGAACCCAAAAAATGAGTGGAGTCCCCCTTCCCTTCTTTTTTCCCCGCCCCAGAGCTTTTTCCTTTCACCTTGTTTTGTTACTTTTCCATTTCTTTTTGTTTGTTTTTGTAAATTGAATAAAATTTTTGAAACGCACTCACAAAACGACACAACAATAACACGCACAAACGGCAACGAATGTAAAAACAGACTTACAAAAATACTAGCAACACACAAAACACAAAAAAAAAAAAAAAAAAAAAACAACACACACACACACACAATAAGTCACTACTTCTTTGTGTCACTGGGTGTTGGTTGCTCGTTGTAGGTTACTGGCGGCATTAAACAACACACACACACAATAAGTCACTACTTCTTTGTGTCACTGGGTGTTGGTTGCTCGTTGTAGGTTACTGGTGGCATTAAACAACACACACACACAATAAGTCACTACTTCTTTGTGTCACTGGGTGTTGGTTGCTCGTTGTAGGTTACTGGTGGCATTAAACAACACACACACACACTATAATTTACTACTTCTTTGTGTCACTGGGTGTTGGTTGCTCGTGGTGTCGTTGAACGTCATCACTTGTATCGCACTATTTATCTCACCTCTCATTGTCTTTTTTCTTTTCATTCTGCATTTTCCTGTATCGACTGGTCTTGAGCAGAGATGGCGACTAGTCCCCAGTCCGATACATGAAGTTATTTCATCCTTTGTATCCAGCAGTTTAAATTTAATGCATCCATCTGTTATGTCTGTGTATGGATCTGCTACCAAGTTTTTACACACACAGTGCCACTGTCTTTGTCCCTCCTCTTCCATGCTTCTTATGATACAACCTGGACACAGTGCCACTGTCTTTGTCCCTCCTCTTCCAAGCTTCTTATGATACAACCTGGACACAGTGCCACTGTCTTTGTCCCTCCTCTTCCAAGCTTCTTATGATACAACCTGGACACAGTGCCACTGTCTTTGTCCCTCCTCTTCCAAGCTTCTTATGATACAACCTGGACACAGTGCCACTGTCTTTGTCCCTCCTCTTCCAAGCTTCTTATGATACAACCTGGACACAGTGCCACTGTCTTTGTCCCTCCTCTTCCATGCTTCTTATGATACAACCTGGACACAGTGGCAACTAGTGCATGACCACTCCGCCACCGCAGCGCCCTCTGTTTGACTCGGTAATATAGATAACATGTCATATCGTGAGTCTGTTGTCCTCAATTGTTCTTTCCTCATGCTTGGTAACCACGTGATGCTTGGTAACCATGTGATGCTTGGTAACCATGTGATGCTTGGTAACCAGTGATGCTTGGTAACCAGTGATGCTTGGTAACCATGTGATGCTTGGTAACCATGTGATGCTTGGTAACCATGTGATGCTTGGTAACCAGTGATGCTTGGTAACCAGTGATGCTTGGTAACCAGTGATGCTTGGTAACCATGTGATGCTTGGTAACCATGTGATGCTTGGTAACCATGTGATGCTTGGTAACCATGTGATGCTTGGTAACCATGTGATGCTTGAGCTTCATGTCTATATCATCATTGACATCATCATCATCATGCGCCCTGCCAACTGGCTTAGACGCTCATGCGTCTCCACAGATCACTATCCCTGGTTGCCTGGAACATCTCTCTTGATGATATCCCTCCATGTCATCGTTTCAGCCCATCCAGCATCATCTCTCTTGGTCTGCCTCTACCCTTTTTCCACTGATCTTTCCAGTTGTCATCATGTTCTCCAATGTCTCTCTTCTCATTATGTGGCCAAAGAACAGTGTTTGTCTCTTTCTTATTGGTGTATATAGAGATCTACTTTTATTAGCTTCTTCCAAGCAATCATCGTTAGTTACTCTGGCCGTCCAAGGTATTCGTGACATTTATCGCAGAAACCACATCTCTGTTGCTTCCAAATTCTTCCTAATTTGTTCACTGACATTCCAAGATTCGCTGCCATACAAAAGAACAGGTTCCATGTTACACTGTGAACCCCTCTTTCTGGCATTAATGAGAGCGATTTATTGCATATTTTTCATTTTCTGAAATGTAGCTTTCTCCTGCTTGACCTTTTCTGCTTTTAATCTCTGTCACACATTTTCTATCTGTTGATATGATTGTTCTCGGACTTTTCAATTTATTGATTTGATTGAGTCTTTATCCTTCAACTGAGATATCACAACGTGAAGGCAACAAAATACAAACTCATTGAATGCAGTCAGTAACAGTACAGTCAGATCACAACGTGAAGGCAACAAAATACAAACTCATTGAATACAGTCAGTAACAGTACAGTCAGATCACAACGTGAAGGCAACAAAATACAAACTCATTGAATGCAGTCAGTAACAGTACAGTCAGATCACAACGTGAAGGCAACAAAATACAAACTCATTGAATGCAGTCAGTAACAGTACAGTCAGATCACAACGTGAAGGCAACAAAATACAAACTCATTGAATGCAGTCAGTAACAGTACAGTCAGATCACAACGTGAAGGCAACAAAATACAAACTCATTGAATGCAGTCAGTAACAGTACAGTCAGATCACAACGTGAAGGCAACAAAATACAAACTCATTGAATGCAGTCAGTAACAGTACAGTCAGATCACAACGTGAAGGCAACAAAATACAAACTCATTGAATGCAGTCAGTAACAGTAAAGTCAGATCACAACGTGAAGGCAACAAAATACAAACTCATTGAATGCAGTCAGTAACAGTACAGTCAGATCACAACGTGAAGGCAACAAAATACAAACTCATTGAATGCAGTCAGTAACAGTAAAGTCAGATCACAACGTGAAGGCAACAAAATACAAACTCATTGAATGCAGTCAGTAACAGTACAGTCAGATCACAACGTGAAGGCAACAAAATACAAACTCATTGAATGCAGTCAGTAACAAACAGAACAGTCAGTTTTACCGTTCCGCAACACAATGTTTGGCTGTTATGCGCATGCGCACATAGCAATTACAGAGACACTGGGCAGTGAGGGCGCTGTCGCTAATTTAGTCACGACAATCTTATTCGATCTAAATTTTGCGCAAAGTATAACAAGAAAGCATTTTTTGTTTTGGGTAAATGACTGGATCAAGCTTGAAAAAACAATTTCGGCGATAATATTTTTTAAAAATTGTTTTGTTCAGAATATTTCAAGCCATGCTGGCATGCGTCTATGCGCGCGCGCGCGCGTGTAGATATATATATATATAACCTTTGTTTTCTTTCACATAATGCACGGATATTTTCCCAAGTAGCATCACTCTTAAGTTGAGCTAGGAACCTCAACTGGGCAGACACCTCATTGATGTTTTTATTATGACTGAGAGAGTGACCTACTGCAACCGATGACCCCAGACTTTGCCCATTTCTTTGGTCCCAAATAAAAAAATGTTTACTAAGAATATATTATTGTATCATTGATGTACTTTTTTTTTTTTTGGTGCCCGACAGGCAAGCTGGTCATCTTTCTCGAGAACCTGGTCACCGTGGCCTCCATCCTCATCATCTTGACCATCAGCATGGAGCGGTTCTGGGCAGTCTACTACCCCCTGCGGACTTACTCCCAGGAGTCAAAATCCAAGGCCATGATCAGCATGGCGGCTGTCTGGTTTGCTGCTGGCGTTACCACGTCTCCTTTACTGGTCAGTTGGTCGTCCAGCCTTCACTGGCTACTGTGTTTTACATTTTGCTCTGTTTAATATGTTGCTGATTTGGAGTTAAAGTGCCAGTTATTATCAGACGTGTCCGTGGTATCATAATTGTATACACAAGGATGGACAAAATTGTGGACAGCATGACGAACAGAGCAATAACAGAAGGATGTTGGTCTGTGTAGATAAGGGTCTGCTGGCGTTCTTATTAACCTGCCTATCAGACAAAGATATAAAAGATTAATTGAATTATTCCTTACGTCCTTCTTAGGACGTTATTTTTTGTTATTTGAAGCCCCACTCTGGCTTTTGCCGGGGGCCGCAATAAAGGCAGGTCATCATTTTGGCCAAATGTCTGAACGCGGTTTCTGGGACCTCTCCACGGTGATCCTCATCCGCATGGTGGCACTTTGTGTCATCGGGTGTTTATCGCTTGTGTGATGTCCTGGTGGGGTAAAAAGCCAATCCAAAGATATAAAACCGAACGAAACGTATATCTGCTTATATTATTAACATTTCTAGAAATGGACTAGGTTCCAAAGATCCTAACGATAACATTTAGTGTTGTGTGGTGACCCCCAGTTGGGCGTGGGGGAAAACAAATAATATGACCTAAGCAGTCCTTTTGATGTGGAAACAAGAGTAGAGTAGGATCAAATAGTCTGCTATATATATATATATATATATATATATATATATATATATATATATATATATATATACTAGCTGTACCCGGCCACGCTTTGCTGTGGCATAGTTTGGCTAAATGGAAATGAAAGAAAATAGAAATCGCACGTGTCTAATACAATCATTGTCTGCTCAGATAAGAAATAGTCTTTGATCTCCACCCCACCCCCCCCCCCCCTAACTAAATCCACCCACTACCCTCTCCCTCATCAAAGGTTTTTGGAAAAGAAAGACAATGGAAATCGCGCCTGTCTAATATAGTTAATGTCGCAATCATTCTCTGCACATATATATATAGATAGTCTGGTTTTCCAACTTTAGAACACGCACCATATAATTTTGTCTTTATATTAGTGGTCGTCTAAATGGTGCTATTAGCACGGTAACAAAAGTGGTTATTTGGTTATCTCATGCTAAAGCTGTTTGTATTTTTATAGGAGACGGAAGTAAAGCTACAACTGTACTTGTAAATAACAACGTGAGTCGTAAAAAATAGAAAAGCGGAGGTAGCGTTAGTAAAATATAAACAAATTAGGTAATGAGAACTTGAAAATCACGTGTAAAACTCTTTAAGTTCTCTTAAATTTAAGTCATTACCCCCCTCCCCTCCCCTCTTCCACCGACTACTGCTCTCTCCCTCTTCGAAATATTTTAAAATCATTACCTGGCGATATTTTGTTGTTGCTGTAACTGACATTGACATCCCTGTCCATCTGGACTAAAATGGGGAGCAGGAATTGTAATAGGTAGTGAATGGGGTTAGTGTAATATTTACCACATCATCCTTCAAGTACCAGTACAACTACTAAAATAATGTCACTGCTGTCTGTGTTACCATCGGAGTAGACAGAGAGTCGTGAGCCAGAAGATTTGGTTCCGCATGGCTAGTGCTGTCGCCACAGACTGGTCAGGTTAGGATGTATAATTTCACTTGCCGACAGAAGAATGCCATAACCTTACCGGCGGTCTTCACATGAGAGCACTATGGTGTAGCAGCCCAACCACAACTATTACTGCTGCTGCTACTTTAAGTGGGTAAAGCAGTTACTGTGACTTAAAGCTCTCTCAGTGAATAGTTCGCCCCCCCCCCCCAACCCCCCAATTCACCAACAACTCTTTCTCTCATTGAAGTAGTTGGGAGGAAAAAAAACACACTTGAGAAGCAAATGAACACAGGAAAAAAACACCATAATTAAAAAATGAACGCCATGGTAAACAGCACAGCTTAAAATTCCAACGCAGATGAAATAACTAGATCTAAATGAAAATAAATGAAAATCTATAAAATTTCAGCGTAACCATGCAATCGGAAAGTTTTAAAATGCAATCATAAGTATGCGAAATGGTCAAATTTAATTATCAAATGGTTTACCCATTTACTTGTCTTTTTTTTTTTTTTTTTTTTAAATATTAAGGCAACTTGGCTAGTGCTGTCACCACGACAGCGCAGATGAGGATATTATTTTAGTCCGGGGTAAAAAAAAAATATTAACTACTGCAGATTCGAACCCATGTCTCCTGCACAGGAACCCAGTGTTCTAACCATTCGACCAAGCAGCCAATTAATCGGATAAACGAAAAGAGAACTCAACTATTAGAGATATGTGTCCCTACTACTGAGTCCTGATTAAAACACAATTCAAAACCGCAGGCAATTGTTTTATATATATATATATAATTTTCATATTATTACTCCATTTCCTAATAGCACTCTAATTTATTTTCAAAATGATAATTATTCCATGTTGCAAATGAATGAAACTATATTTTAGTTTGTGTATAAATCTACTCGATAAACATATCAAACACACACCAGCCCCTCGTAGTTGCAAAAAAAAAAAAAACGGGAATTTCCATTGACCTTGAGGGCCATATAAAAAGCTTTAGTGGGCCATACCAAAATCATGTATCTGTTTCAGTCAGCCTAATTGTAATCCCATCCCTGTTTTAGCTGACGATCTACACGATATCCCATCTCTGTTTCAGGTGACGGTCTACACATAATCGCGTCTCTGTTTCAGCTCACTGCCTACACATAATCGCGTCTCTGTTTCAGCTCACAGCCTACACATAATCGCGTCTCTGATTCAGCTCACTGCCTACACATAATCGCTTCTCTGTTTCAGCTCACTGCCTACACATAATCGCATCTCTGTTTCAGCTCACTGCCTACACATAATCGCGTTTCTGTTTCAGCTCACTGCCTACACATAATCGCGACACTGTTTCAGCTCACTGCCTACACATAATCGCTTCTCTGTTTCAGCTAATGATCTACGAGTAAACTATCTCTGTTTCAGCTAATGATCTACTAGTAAACTATCTCTGTTTCAGCTAATGATTTACTAGTAAACTATCTCTGTTTCAGCTGATGATCTACTAGTAAACTATTTCTGTTTCAGCTAATGATCTACTAGTAAACTATCTCTGTTTCAGCTGATGATCTACTAGTAAACTATCTCTGTTTCAGCTAATGATCTACTAGTAAACTATTTCTGTTTCAGCTAATGATCTACTAGTAAACTATTTCTGTTTCAGCTAATGATTTACTAGTAAACTATCTCTTTTTCAGCTAATGAACTACTAGTAAACTATCTCTGTTTCAGCTAATGATCTACAAGTAAACTATCTCTGTTTCAGCTTATGGCCTACTAGTAAACTATTTCTGTTTCAGCTAATGATCTACTAGTAAACTATCTCTGTTTCAGCTAATGATCTACAAGTAAACTATCTCTGTTTCAGCTAATGATCTACTAGTAAACTATTTCTGTTTCAGCTAATGATCTACTAGTAAACTATCTCTGTTTCAGCTAATGATCTACAAGTAAACTATCTCTGTTTCAGCTTATGGCCTACTAGTAAACTATCTCTGTTTCAGCTTATGGCCTACTAGTAAACTATTTCTGTTTCAGCTTATGGCCTACTAGTAAACTATCTCTGTTTCAGCTTATGGCCTACTAGTAAACTATTTCTGTTTCAGCTTATGGCCTACTAGTAAACTATTTCTGTTTCAGCTAATGATCTACTAGTAAACTATTTCTGTTTCAGCTAATGATCTATTAGTAAACTATTTCTGTTTCAGCTAATGATCTACTAGTAAACTATTTCTGTTTCAGCTAATGATCTACAAGTAAACTATCTCTGTTTCAGCTGATTATCTACAAGTAAACTATCTCTGTTTCAGCTTATGGCCTACTAGTAAACTATCTCTGTTTCAGCTGATTATCTACAAGTAAACTTTCACTGTTTCAGCTAATGAACTACTAGTAAACTATTTCTGTTTCAGCTAATGATCTACTAGTAAACTATCTCTGTTTCAGCTGATTATCTACAAGTAAACTATCTCTGTTTCAGCTAATGATCTACTAGTAAACTATCTCTGTTTCAGCTTATGGCCTACTAGTAAACTATCTCTGTTTCAGCTAATGATCTACTAGTAAACTATCTCTGTTTCAGCTAATGATCTACGAGTAAACTATCTCTGTTTCAGCTAATGATCTACTAGTAAACTATCTCTGTTTCAGCTAATGATCTACTAGTAAACTATCTCTGTTTCAGCTAATGATCTACTAGTAAACTATCTCTGTTTCAGCTGATTATCTACAAGTAAACTATCTCTGTTTCAGCTAATGATCTACTAGTAAACTATTTCTGTTTCAGCTAATGATCTACTAGTAAACTATCTCTGTTTCAGCTAATGATCTACAAGTAAACTATCTCTGTTTCAGCTTATGGCCTACTAGTAAACTATCTCTGTTTCAGCTTATGGCCTACTAGTAAACTATTTCTGTTTCAGCTTATGGCCTACTAGTAAACTATCTCTGTTTCAGCTTATGGCCTACTAGTAAACTATTTCTGTTTCAGCTTATGGCCTACTAGTAAACTATTTCTGTTTCAGCTAATGATCTACTAGTAAACTATTTCTGTTTCAGCTAATGATCTACTAGTAAACTATTTCTGTTTCAGCTAATGATCTACTAGTAAACTATTTCTGTTTCAGCTAATGATCTACTAGTAAACTATTTCTGTTTCAGCTAATGATCTACTAGTAAACTATCTCTGTTTCAGCTGATTATCTACAAGTAAACTATCTCTGTTTCAGCTAATGATCTACTAGTAAACTATCTCTGTTTCAGCTTATGGCCTACTAGTAAACTATCTCTGTTTCAGCTAATGATCTACTAGTAAACTATCTCTGTTTCAGCTAATGATCTACGAGTAAACTATCTCTGTTTCAGCTAATGATCTACTAGTAAACTATCTCTGTTTCAGCTAATGATCTACTAGTAAACTATCTCTGTTTCAGCTAATGATCTACTAGTAAACTATCTCTGTTTCAGCTGATTATCTACAAGTAAACTATCTCTGTTTCAGCTGATTATCTACTAGTAAACTATCTCTGTTTCAGCTGATGATCTACAAGTAAACTATCTCTGTTTCAGCTAATGATCTACAAGTAAACTATCTCTGTTTCAGCTTATGGCCTATACTGACCAGCAGTTCCACAGTGTGGATAATGCCATAGTGGATGTTTGTATCACACCAGTGATCCACACATGGCACAAGGCTTACATTATCGGACGCTTCGTCTTCGTCTTCGCGATCCCCATGTTTTTGCTGGCCATCCTCTACTCGCTCATCATTATCAAGGTAAGCAGCAAATTGTATAACCGCTTTGGGAACGTCTGTGATGACAAGCTTATATTTTTTTACGTTCCAGGCCGAACCATTTCAATTTTTGGGCATAGTGTGCTTTCAGTGTTGATAATGCATGCCCTCACACATGCATTATATATCTTCACACTTAATGCTGACGCTCTTCACCAAGGCTACTGGGCGTCTTCATTATGTGCTTTTGATGCCTTTATCATGGGTATTAGATGCCTTAATCCTGGGTATGTGGTACTTTCACACTGGGTATTAGATGCCTTAATGCTAGGTATGTGGTACTTTCATACTGGGTATTCGGTGCCTTAATGCTAGGCATTTAGTGCTTTCATCCTGGGTATTTGGCGCCTTCATTCTGGGTAAATGACGCCCTTATCCTGGGTATTAGATGCCTTTATCCTGAGTTTTAGATGCCTTTATCCTGGGTATTAGATTCCTTCATCCTGAGTATTAGATGCCTTTATCCTGAGTATTAGATTCCTTCATCCTGAGTATTAGATTCCTTCATCCTGTGTATTAGATGCCTTTATCCTGAGTATTAGATTCCTTCATCCTGAGTATTAGATTCCTTCATCCTGAGTATTAGATGCCTTTATCCTGAGTATTAGATTCCTTCATCCTGAGTATTAGATTCCTTCATCCTGTGTATTAGATGCCTTTATCCTGGGTATTAAATGCCTTTATCCTGGATATTAGATTCCTTCATCCTGAGTATTAGATGCCTTTATCCTGAGTATTAGATTCCTTCATCCTGAGTATTAGATTCCTTCATCCTGAGTATTAGATGCCTTTATCGTGGGTATTAGATTCCTTTATCCTGGGTATTAGATTCCTTCATCCTGAGTATTAGATTCCTTCATCCTGAGTATTAGATTCCTTCATCCTGAGTATTAGATGCCTTTTACCTAGGTATTTGGTGGATTCATCCTGGACATTGTGTCAGTGTCGACCGCGAAGCAAACCCGCTCAAAAAACGCCTGCAGAAGTCGGATGTGTCGGCCGAATGGTGCAAATATCTCAACCATGCTGTAAGCAGGCACAACGAATTACCTCTTCCCAAGAATACAGAAGAAGAAGAAGAAGAAGAAGAAGAAGAAGAAGAAGAAGAAGAAGAAGAAGAAGAAGAAGAAGAAGAAGAAGAAGAAGAAGAAGAAGAAGTGTTATTGTCTGCTTGCAGTGAATTACCTACAGACACCGTTTATTCTTCGTAAATGTTTCTGACCAATATCTGAAAGTAAAATAGCAAAAAATGTCCCCTTTTCAATGTTTACGGTACAAGGGGTTTGATAGCCCATCTGGCACTCCGTTGTAGATGAGGTAAGAATAACCCCTGCTGCCTGTAATTCCTGTATCATTTCCTGACAACCCACTTAGACTGGGTTACAATATCAAGATGTGAATGAGGACGGAACCAGTCATCACAGGATCGAGAGACAGCGCTCTACATTTGGAGACCTCTGCTCGCTTGCCTTGTCTTAATGCAGATAACTACTTCAACTCACAAATGACTACTTCAACGCACAGATGACTAATTCAACTCACAGATGACTAATTCAACTCACGGATGACTTTTTCAACTCACAGATGATAACTTCAACTCACAGATGACTAATTCAAATCACAGATGACAACTTCAACTCACAGATGACAAATTCTACTCACAGATGACTTCTTTAACTCACAGATGACTAAATCAACTCACAGATGACTACTTCAACTCACAGATGACTAATTCAAGTCACGGATGACTAATTCAACTCACAGATGACTAATTCAACTCACATATGACTAATTCAACTCACAGATGACTTCTGCAACTCACAAATGACTACTTCCATTCACAGATGATTTATTCAACTCACAGATGACAAATTCAACTCACAGATGACTTCTTTAACTCACAGATGACTAATTCAACTCACAGATGACTACTTCAACTCACAGATGACTAGTTCAAGTCACAGATGACTAATTCAACTCACAGATGACTAATTCAACTCACAGATGACTAATTCAACTCACAGATGACTTCTTCAACTCACAAATGACTACTTCCATTCACAGATGATTTATTCAACTCACAGATGACTTCTTCAACTCACAGATTACTAATTTTACTCACAAATGACTTATTCAACTCACAGATGACTACTTTCACTCACAGATGACTACTTCCACTCACAGATGACTAATTCAACTCACAGATGACTACTTCAATTCACAGATGACTAATTCAACTCACAAATGACTTCTTCAACTGACAGATGACTTCTGAACTCACAGTTTCACCTGGTTTCACTAAGAACAAATGAAGCACTGACCTCAGTTTTCAACCATTACTTGAGACTAGTCGAAGGGAAATTTAGCACTGACCTCAGTTTTCAACCATTACTTGAGACTAGTCGAAGGGAAATTTAGCACTGATTTCTGTTAGTTTTAATTCTTTCTTTCAAACTAGACGAAGGAAAATGTAACACTGATGACTGTTAGATTTAACTTATAGCTTCAGTTGCTTAGACAAGGGTGGCAGTTTGATATCTTTGAACATTAGCTATTCCAATTTTCTGTCATCTCCCACTCCGCTCCAGACATTGTTTAACGCTTCTTCCACGCAGAGCAACTAGCGACTTTGTCAGAAGACATTATAACTGACCGTGGTTGCAAACAGTGAATACCTGGGTCACAATAACATCGTTTAGTTTGTGTAACCATTTTGCAAAAAACACTTAGTTTAGCAGTTGTCACCAGTTGATATTGTCTGTTTTGTCTGCCATACTAAACCTTTTCCTATCAACATAGTTCACTTGCTTTTATTTGATTTGTATTGCAAGATCACACATAGATCTATTAAATGTCCCGTTAATGTTATATGTTTGGTTTACAGTTCCCAAAAATATTATATGTTTGGTTTACACTTCCCAATAATATTATATGTTTGGTTTACAGTTCCCAATAATGTTATACGTTTTGTTTACACTTCCCAATAATGTTATACGTTTGGTTTACACTTCCCAATAATGTTATATGATTGGTTTACACTTCCCAATAATGTTATATGTTTGGTTTACACTTCCCAATAATGTTATATGTTTGGTTTACACTTCCCAATAATGTTATATGTTTGGTTTACACTTCCCAATAATGTTACATGTTTGGTATACAAACTCTTGGAGACCCGGTTGGGGTAGCTAGCAGAACAGTGATGTCCCCCGCCTCGACTGTGTTGTCTGTGTAGCTATAAACTGATTTACACCATTCAGCTATAAAAACTGATTTACACTTTTGAGCTATAAAAATGCATTTTCATTGTTACCTATAAAAATTTATTTACTTTTTTCCAGTTAACAAAAAAAGTTGATTTACGCTGTCTTGCTCTTGAATTTGTCATCTTGGTGTTGTTATTGCCTTTATAAATTATTAATCTGATGTATTTGCAGTCGATGTCTAATTTCGAAAAGAATTTAAAAACCAAAATGAAGTAGTTTATCTAGGATTACTCTACATAATACTTTGCTCTGATATGTGAAGCACACATATTTACTTTCTCATCACCAACATATTTGCCCACGAATGTTCTCTGATAATTGTATGGCGCTTTATGCTTCCTTTTTGTTTATTTATTTATATATTTATTTATTTCGAAACTTCAGCTGCTTTTCCGAGGTTGTAGAGTCTTTTTTATTTAATTTTCTTGAATACACATTTTTTTTTTTTAATGCTATATGTCGAATTTTACCAGGAGACTAGAAACATTCTGAAAGCATGGTTGCCAGTAGTGAGATATTTGTGCAGTTATTACTAGCACTATGAGGTTTGTTATTTATTGTTTCAGGTGAGGAAAGAGACAATGGAATGTAAACAAATGACGGAGACAGCCAAGTCACAGTCCCAACAAAACCGGAAACAGATCGTCGCCATGTTGATCGGAATCATTGTCTTATTCTTTGTCTGTCTGCTGCCCTTCAGAATCCTGGCTCTGCTGGAAACGTTCAGTCGCCCAGGCAGTGTCATCCTCATCGGGCCTGAACGTTACCTCAACATGATGTACTTCTGCAGACTTCTCATTTACGTCAACAGTGCCGGCAACGCCATCATCTACAACATCGTCTCCACGAAATTCCGAAGAGCCTTCCACATAGTACTGAGGTACTACTGCTGCTGTTGGAAGAAGAGTCGACTGCTGAACAGGGGCACCATGAACGGGACGTATTCCCACGGCACTAGGATGACCACAATGTCCCACTACAGCGTGGTCAAGCAAGACAACCAGGATATTTCTGATACAGGGGACGCCGTTTAAGTTATGTCCCCTGGTTGTAAGATCTCGAGTGTCGCTCGTCTCACACTAGCCTAGAGGAGGCGACATGTCTAAAACTTGCACAGTATCACACGTGAAACTGCGAGAGGTGTGCACATACCCCACTTGTTTTGTTGTTGATTTAAAAAACTGGTCAAGATGTCCCGGCATTGATATTTAAATACAATTTTACAGATCCAGTAAAAGTAGCGCCTTTATATAGGAAAACGCCTTGGAGAGACCTAAATAAGGCCTTTCCCTACTCGCAGGTTTTGCAACTGGCCTTTTGTGAAGAAATGTAAGATTGTGTCTTCTCCCAAGATGTACCCATAGTAGAGATGTAAGGTTGTGTCTTCTCCACAGACATACCCATAGTAGAGATGTAAGATTGTGTCTTCTTCACAGACATACCCATAGTAGAGATGTAAGATTGTGTCTTCTTCACAGACATACCCATAGTAGAGATGTAAGATTGTGTCTTCTTCACAGACATACCCATAGTAGAGATGTAAGATTGTGTCTTCTCCCCAGATGTACCCCTAGTAGAGGTATGGATTCGTTAGCTAGGGACATGGTAAATAATAAGAGTAGATTATAATCGCTTCCATCTGAGAAGGTGGATCTACTGGCTGCTGTGTGTCTGCATCTATACTCGCCATAAAGTGTCCAGTAAACGTAGCTGTACTCACCATAAAGTGTCTAGTAAAACATGACTGTACTCACAATAAAGTGTCCAGTAAAACATGGCTGTACTCACCATAAAGTGTTCAGTAAAACGTGACTGTACTCGCCATAAAGTGTCCAGTAAAACCTGGTTGTACTCCCCATAGAGTGTCCAGTTAAACGTGGCTGTACTTGCCATAAAGTAGGCAGTAAAACGTGGCTGTACTCACCATAAAGTGTCTATTACAAAAGCGCTGAAGACAAAGATGTCTCTAAAACACTGCTTTTCATGCGACTTCTCATTAACTTTTATGATTCATGTTTAAGTGCCTTGCCAACTGGCGTGGGCGATCCTGCCTCTCCACAGTCTGCGATTTGCAACTGCGTGTATCAGTTCGCCATGACGAAAGACTGTCAAGAATCTTTTCTCGCTTCCTCTGTCTTTTTCCCCACAGATCTTTTGAGTGGTCACAACGTATTCAGTTTTTCCTTTTCTCATAACATGACCAAAAAATGACGACTGTCTGTTTCTGATGTTTGGAGCAATCGCATCTTTCAAAACATCTAGTTCGCTCTTCTTCGCTATCCAATGAATTCTAAAGATTTTTCTGAAAAACCACACATCCTTGGCCTATTTTGATTACAGTCAGTTAAACTATTGTGATTAATGATAAACTGTTGTGATTAATGATAAACTGTTGTGATTACTGATAAACTGTTGTGATTACTGATAAACTGTTGTGATTACTGATAAACTGTTGTGATTACTGATAAACTGTTTCTGAGAAATTACACACGTGCTTTTTTTTTTGGCTTTCATTGCTGACATATGCGAATATCGTCACAAGTCAGCAAATCGTACGAAGTGTGCGAGACATGCCGAGGGGTGTTGGATCATCTCGCTCCCAGAGATGTATCTCATTATGGGGCATCGACTGTCTGTCCAGCCTGACAGAAGTATCAGCTTTAACAACAGTGACTTGATGTGACCTGCAGAAATACATCACTCAACGTTTCACAACCTGACAGAAGTATCAGCTTTAACAACAGTGACTTGATGTGACCTGCAGAAATACATCACTCAACGTTTCACAACCTGACAGAAGGTATCAGATGCAACCACAGTGACGTGATGTGACCTGCAGAAATACATCACCTAATGATTCACATATTGGCTCATGGTACATCTATCCGGTAAATAAACAAATAAATAATAATGACAAGACATTCTAGACAAAATGAAGGCTGGAGCTTTCATGATAATAGCCGGGATTGGAAAATTCCAGTTGCAAATTACGTCCACGGTGATTCACCCATTTAAACACATGTGTCTTTACTGGTCAGGCCGGTCGTCCGCCTCAACCCCTAACTGTGAAACACAACCAGGATCCGTCTCTAACTATTTGAAAAGCACCACATATTTCAGAAATCTTCGTTAGAAAGCAAAGAACGAAAAAAAAAAAACCCATTATTTTCATATCAATCCCAGACAGTTAGAAAACAGTGTTGTGATTTGAACGTGGATGTGTTTTCATTTCTTTCTGATCTAACTCAGCCCTGTGACGCTAAGTTTTAAGAAACGTTTTACGTTCACTAATTTGCCATTGCTCACTTAGCGGTCGGCTCTACCAATGTCGAAACCGACGCAAGACGGTCTGCTGCCAAATGGCCTACAGCCGAAATCGAACCGGGTACCCCGGATTTTTACAATACTGTCTCAATGAACTCATGTGTTCCCACATAACTGAGATTGTCTGCCTTCATTGACGTATCGTATCTTCATTTTTACATGTTAAATCACGTAAGTGCGTTCAATTCCTTCGTATATATCAAGTGACTCGTTAAATAAAATGATGTACTATGTACTGGCAAAATTATAATGTAATTCAGCGAAGCACTGTCTTCTATGAAAACTATACTTTTTGGAACTGTATTAAGTGTTCAGCTGTGTACTGTCGTCAGTACTGTAGCTACTATGACCTTTGTGTATATTGAAAAAGCCTTTGATAGCCTGTATAGGGAATCACTATTGAAGATGTAGCCTCACTAAGGTGTACCACAGAAAAAAATAAATTTTATCGAAGCTATTTACGAGAGTTACACTGCAAAGTACTTTGTGATAATCATACAACATAAAGTTTTTTTGTCAACACAGGAGTCAGACCGGGATGCATACTATCCCCCTTTTTGTTCAATTTTGCCATAGACTGGCTGATGAAGGAAGTTACACGAGATAGAAAAAGAGGCATAGGTGGTCACTCACCTCTGTTTTAGAGGATCTGGACTATGTAGATGACATCAGCCTTATAACATGCCGTTATGTGAACGCTCAGGAAAAGATTGAACAACTTTCAACAACAGCCCTTCAGACAGGACTAAAAAAAAAAAAAAAACCCCCAGTAAAACTAAAGTAATGAGAAATAATTAGAAAACAGAAAATCCGCTTATCATAAATGATGAAGCAATAGAGGACGTTGAAGAATTGGTATACCTCTGAAGTAAAGTTACTCCAGATGGAGATTCTGAAAAGGATGTAACATCAAGTATAAACAAAGCAAATCAAGCATTTGCCATGCTTAACAATATATAGAAGTCAAAGGGTTTAGTTTGAAGATAAAACTCAGACTATACAGCCACAACATTTTAGGAATAATATTATACAATACCGAATGTTGGAAAATGACAGCAGGAATTACATATGAACTTGAGACTTTTCAAAATAAATGTTTAAGGAGAATTCTACGAATATTTTGGCCAAACGAGATCACAAATGAAGACCTGAGGAGGAAAACAGAATGTACATCACTGGCAAATGTTATCAAAGTAAGACGATAGAGAGGGTTTGGACATGTTTGCAGACTGCCTTGTGACACTGGCAAAAACAGCTCTCCGGTGGACAGCAGATGGGAAAAGGAGACGTGAACGACCTAAGGAAACCTGGAGAAGGACAAAAGAACGGGAAATGAAGGAATGTAAACTGACATGGGATATCATGGGCAGAAAAGCAGCAGACCGGCAGCAATCGAGATCACTTGTGAATGCCTTATGTGTCAACAGCGACATGAAGAGGATATAAGTATATATATATATATATATATATATTTATACACAAACACGCCCTCACACCATTAAACATACTCCCACACACTTCCACTCACACTCACACTCACTCACTCACACACAGGCACACTCACACACACACTCATACACACTCACACTCACACACTCACTCTCTCGTACACGCTTACTCACACGCACAACTCACACACACACACACACATATATATATAGATCAGATTCAACATAAAGACTACACAGTCAACAAATAAACACTTCCCCGCTCCCCTTTCCCATCCTGTGCCACCTTCTGTTATTTTACAAAAAAAAAAATCAGTTTCTCCGAAACGGTTTACTACAGAGGAATACTTTCAATTGCCTCATCAGAAAAGATCCCAATATTTTTAAAGAAGTCAAGACACGTGACGTAAGGAGACTGCAAGTGATATCAACAAGAGACGACAGTCTTCATTTGTGAAAGTTCCTTTGTTCTGACAAAGAGCCGGCTAATGCTGGTGTTAGTGGACAGGTTCTTGGGACGTGACTTTTGGCAGGACCATTCGAGAAGATTCTCCTCGGCTTCTGTCATAGCGCAGAAATGTGTCAACACAGGAGGTTATACAGACTACCTTAGATTGATAGAGTGCCGATGTTCAAACAATTATATCTCAGTCGTAGTGGAATATAAATCGATAACATTTTACATAAATATATACTTCATTCTCAAATTTTGCCAGATTTTAAAAATTTTATAAATATACGACGATGCTTGCTGGATTGCCTTTTAAGATTACATAGCACAAAGTTCAAATGTGACGAATAGATCTATCATAAAAACGCGTATTTCTGGTGTTTTACGTAAGTTCTGAATTAGACCACAACTGTTCGGGGAACGTATAGCAAGGCACTACGAAATACCCGTGCTGTAAAGTTTTAGTTAGGTAATAAAAGCCAACTAAAATGATCTAAGCGATGAAACTAAAACAAGAAAAACTACAGATCTGTTACAAATGGGCAGGCTAAATATTATTTATAAATAAAACACCAGATTCTAGATAAAGTAGAAGCCCGCTCAAAAACACGTTCACAGGAAAAGTAGTTACCCATAAATTATCGAAAACACAACGGTAACCATTTGTCAACGCACTATAGATGTGAACGGTTTGGCAACATTGTTGCATACAAGCAGGTTGCTGGCGTCTACCATAAGGGAGCATTTGACAAGTGCTCAGCCAGCTAACGCAAACAAGACTTCTTCCCATATCTTTTCAGAACTTATAACA